TCATCAAGAGACATTTTCATAGAGGATAACTGGTTAGTAATACTCTACATTTCATTCAAATGCTCAGCAATAGAAGCACCCTCTCTATATTTTAGGTTCACAAGTTTTCTGATCAAAAAAGCTTTGTTGCCAGCTGTTTTTCTCTCATAGAGACTTTCCAATTTTTTCAAAAGAGAATATGCAGAAATTTCAGTAGAAACATGGTGAAAGACACTATCATCAAGCCACTGTCTAATAAACCCAATTGTTTTTCGATCTAACCTCTTCCACTCATCATCTGTCATAGTTGTAGGTTTTGCACTATCCCCTTGCAACGGTCCATACAAATCTTTGCAATACAAGAGATCTTCCATTCTTGGTTTCCATATCATCCAATTGTTTCCATTCAAACTAATCATGCGAGAAATATTACTGGTCTCCGTGTTCAAATACAAAAATTAAATCACCAAAACCCCGCTCTGATACCAGTTGATGGGGATAAAAAGAGGAATAACCTTTGTATAGGAACAAATACTAGAAGACCAAAATACGCAGCGGAATAAAATGAAAACACAATCAAACAGAACACCAAGATATACGTGGAAAACCCCTTCAATGTGAAGGGTAAAAACCACGGGGCAAACTAGAGATAATTCACTATGAGAATAATGAATATACAAATCTCAATCTCTTGCCCAAAACCCTAGCAACAACCACAAGAGAATAATTGGGATACAAGGATCACGTCACTGCCCACAATATCTAAAACCTCCCCAAGTAATCACAGCAAGAGTCTACTGTAGATTTGATCTAACTTGAGATGAGAACACTGCTAGATGATTGTGAACAGTCTCTCTGCGTTGTCCTTGTCTTCTTCCCTTTCTTTCTCTTCCTTTTCTGCCTTGTTCTCCTTCTTCTCTTTGGAATCCCGTGGCTCCAAAGATCTGCCTCGTTGCTGCCTTTTTATAGCTTTAATCTACCTCTAAAACGCAGCCACCACACCCCCTAATCTTAATTAGGGTTAGGTTAAGAGGGGGTGTGGGCTGTGGGCTGATAAAGCCCACATGGGCTGAATATGGGCCATCAGCCCAACAACCAGCACCCTACTGCCTGCTGCTCCTCCCTGCAAAGGATTGCGGAGCAAGTCGTCCCAGATCCGAGCATCCCAAACATCATCCAACACCAGCAAGAACTTGTTCCCTCTTAGGAGACCCTCCACCAAGGGCTCCAGTAGACTCCTGCTTTGTTCACTATTATATTTTCCACCAGCACCTTCTGATAGGGGTAAAAACTGAGTTGACATAATATCCCGGATTTGACATAATACACCCCCCCGTCAGCCACTCCTGTGCGGCGCGCTGCCCCAAGAAGTGAGCATTAACACCGACACGACACGCGCCCATACCGAGCGAGCATTAACGCCGACGCGACATGCACCGTACCCTGTGGGAGCCCGGCCTTCCATGCGACGTCCACGACGACGACGGATGCCATCAGAGGTACGGCCCTGCTCCTGCAGGACGGCACATCAGGTAACATCAAACCCCCTCTATAAATACCCCCTGGCTCCCAATGGGCAGGGGGGCTCTCTCTCTCTCTCACTCAACACTCCTCTCTGCGTCACTGACTTGATCGTCGGAGGGGTCGGGCCGCGCTACCGACCCTACCTGTGTGCAGGTACTCGACCGCTGCTGGATCCACTCGGCGTCCCGGCACTTTCCCGTTGCTGATCCCAGCCATTTGGAGCCCTGAACCAGCCGCATCGACCCCGAGGTCACGGCTCAAAGAGTTACTTACCGTAATAGATTGGCGCTAGAAGGAGGGCCGTCCAAATGTCAGGTGATCAGCGAATCCACCTCGACGGATCCTCAACCGCTGGGCTCCCCGCCTCGGGGGAACATCCCCCACATGATGAGACCCACGATGAGCGCCCCGTAGCGGTGTCGGAACGCTACTAGTGACTGTTCAATGACCCAGGCCTGTCGCCTCCCGATGGCGCACCTGCTGGCCCATCGTCAATATCGCCCGAGGCTTTTCACGACCTCGCCCACCAAGTCCGAACCCTGACAAGCATGGTCCAGACCATCATCCCGATCGTCTCCCAGCGGACCCCTCCGCACGCGGCTTGGCCCTCGCCGCAACAGGAGACCCCTGTCCAGACTCACGCACCACTTCCTGAGCTCCCCATCTCACCTCGAAACCCCGCAGCTCGGCCCGGGAGCCGGGAAGCAGAAGACACGGCGAGCCGCCCCGAGCCCGAGGCTCCCACTGCCGACTCGACAAATGCCCTACGAGCTCAGCTACGCCTCGTCAGTCAAAAGCTTGACGAGGTACAACAGGAAGTTCGCAAGTCAAAGGGAGAGCTCGGGGCAGACGGACACCAAGGATCTCCGTTCACCCCCGAGGTACAAGATCAGGCGATCCCGCCGCACTTCCGCCTCCCTTCACTGGACGCGTATGACGGCACCACCGACCCGGCGGACCACGTGGCCGCTTTTCGCGCCCAGATGGCACTATTCGGGACTTCCGACGCCCTGATGTGCAGGGCGTTCCCAACAACTCTGCGGGGGCCAGCCCGCACATGGTACAGCGGCCTGAAGCCAGGGACCGTCGCCTCCTTCGACCAGCTCACTAAGGATTTCGAGCTTAACTTCCTGACGTACGCCCGACCGAAGCCGTCCATGGCATTGCTCCTCGGGCTCAGCCAGAAGGAGGACGAACCCTCTCCCATTTTGTGAACCGATTTACGACACAAATCCGTGGATTGTCAGATGCTCACCCCTCTTTCTTGATGCAGGCATTCATGACAGGCCTGCGGCCCTCCAGGTTCTTCTGGTCGCTCGTGGAACGACCCCCCGTCGCGGTCCCCGAGATGCTCCAGCGTGCCAATCAGTTTATCGCCGCGGAGACTTGGATGGCTGGAAGGCGGGAGGAACACAAAAAGGTCAAGTCAGAGCCACCCCGACAGCAACAACCCGCCGCCTCCCGGCGAAAGTCGGGCAGACCTGACCCGAGGCCCCCTCTTCCCGCCTTGAATTTGTCCCGGACTGAAATATTCCTACACAAGAAGGGGAAGGGGCTACTCAAGGACCCTCGCCCGATGAGGAACCCGCGGGAGCTCACAGACCGATCAAGATATTGCCGATTTCATCGGCAGCACGGGCACGACACTAAGCAGTGCTACGAGCTGAAGAGGCAAACTGAGGAGCTCATCCTCAGAGGTCACCTCGGCCAGTACCTCCGGCCGAACAAACAGCAGTCGCCTCGCCCAGAGGGCCCTGTCGAGCGGCACATCGATGTGATAGCTAGGGGCCCCGCATCAGGAGGAGGCTCCATGTCGGGCAGGAAGGCGTATGCCCGAGTCGCTCCCGACGAAGCCTCGGGGCACGAGCCGGAGCCCGAGATTACCTTCCCAACCGGAGCCGCCGAGCGACCCGACCACGACGACGCCTTGGTAATATCGGCCAGGGTAGCCAACGCACAGATGAGGAGGATCATGGTCGACACGGGGAGCTCGGCCGACATACTCTACTTCGACGCCTTTTAGAAGCTGGGCCTGGCCAGGGAGAAGCTGAGCCCGGTGTGCTCGGCGCTCACTGGTTTCACGGGAGATTCAATATCACCCCTGGGGGCCATTACTTTGCCCTTGACTCTGGGGGCCCCGCCGAAGTCGAAGACGGTGATGACCACTTTCCTGGTGGTCGACCTTCCTACCGCCTACAATGCCATACTCGGTCGGCCGACCCTCAACAAGGTCAAAGCGGTCGTCTCGACCTACTACTTGACCATTAAATTCCCAACTCATGCTGGAGTCGAGGAAGCCACGGGAAGCCCCCGAGAGTCCAGGCGGTGCTACCTTACCGCCGTGTCATTGAGCAAGAGAGCCAGGACCGAAGCGCCCCTGGAAGATCGGCGGGAAACGAAAAAACTAACTCCTCATCCCGAACCGAGGGGGTCCACCGTTGACATTCTTTTGCGAGAAGCTCGGCCGGACCAAACCGTGAAGATCGGCTTGGAGCTACCAGAGCGGGAACGGGAGTAGCTCGTCGGCTTCCTACGGGAAAATGCCGACGTCTTCGCCTGGTCCCCATCGGACATGACGGGCGTCGACCCGGAGGTCGCGGAGCACCATCTCAACATCCCACCTGACGCTCGCCCGGTGAAACAAAAGGCCCGGCACCAGGCCCCTGACCGACAACGTGCAATACAAGAGGAGGTGGACCGGCTCCTAGCCGTAGTCCTCGTGAAGAAACACAATGAAAGCTGGAGGATGTGTGTCGACTACACCAGTCTCAACAACGCATGCCCTAAAGACTACTACCCCCTCCCGAAGATCGACCAGCTGGTCGACGCGACGGCCGGTCACGCGCGACTCTCTTTTATGGACGCCTACTCAGGGTATAACCAGATCAGGATGGCGCCCGGGGACAGAGAGCACACGGCCTTCCTCACCGATCAAGGCGTATACTTCTACAAAGTCATGCCGTTCGGGCTAAAAAATGCTGGGGCCACATACCAGAGAATGGTAAACAAGATGTTCGCCCATCAAATCGGGAGGAACATGGAGGTCTACGTGGATGACATGATCGTGAAAAGCCAAGAGGCTAGAACACACCTGGCCGAGGCCTTCGCCACGCTGCGCAAGTTCGGCATGCGGCTCAACCCCATGAAGTGCGCTTTTGGCGTCACTTCCGGGAAGTTCTTTGGGTTCATCGTGCATGAGAGAGGAATCGACGCCAACCCGGAGAAGGTTCAAGCAATAATCAACATGCAATCCCCCCGGACAGTTAAAGACCTGCAGTGACTTAACGGAAGACTTCCTCGCCCGATCGGGCGATCGCTGCCTCCCACTCCTCAAGGCGCTCAAAAGCCCGAAGAACTTCCAGTGGACATCAGAATGCGAGGAAGCTTTCAAACAAATAAAACCGCACATGGCCAGCCTTCCCCAGCTCGCCTCCGTCTCCCCGGGCGAGAAGCTTGGCCTCTACTTGGCGGCCTCCCAGCATGCACTCAGCTCTGTCCTGGTCAAGGAAAACTCCAACCAACAACTCCCGATCTACTACGTCAGCCACGTCCTAAGTGGACCTGAGGAGCATTACCCACCGATAGAGAAACTCGCGCTCGCCCTGGTGCTCTCAGCTTGGAAGTTGCGCCCCTACTTCCAGGCACACCCGGTGGAGGTCATCACCAACCAACCCCTTCGACAGGTCTTAACAAAATTTGATGTTGCAGGACAGCTCCTCAAATGGGCGGTGGAGCTCGGCGAACATGACATAAGGTACTCGCCCAGGACCGCCGTCAAGGCCCAGGTGGTAGCCGACTTCATTGCGGAGCTGACGCATTTGGAGGACGCAGATCTCAAGCAGTCTCCCGAAGCTTGGACCCTACACGTTGATAGCTCGGCCAACTCAAGGGGCACCGGCGCAGGGCTGGTCCTCGCCCCTGACGGACGCTCGTTCGAGCGATCCCTTCGCTTCGGGTTCAAAGCCACCAACAATGAGGCGGAGTACGAGGCGCTCCTAGCAGGACTAAGGTTGGCCCTCGAGATGCAGGTGGTCGCGATACGCGTCCTCACCGAATTGCAACTTGTGGCCGAGCAGCTTAACGGCGGATACGAAGCTCGGGACGCAACCATGGCGAAATACCTGGCACGGGTAAGGGACCTGATCGCTAAGTTTCGTTATTTTACACTGTCTAACGTTCCGAAGGAGGAGAACGAGTGAGCCGACGCACTGGCTAAGCTGGCGTCGAAGCCGACCTCCGAAGCATGGCCAGAGGTTGAGGAGCTCCCTGCCCGCGCCGTCGAAATAGCAATTACAGCCCCAGGCGGCGCGCCGACCACGTGGGTACAAGAGCTGCTACGCTTCAAGCGGGATGGAACCCTTCCCCTCGACGAAGTTGCAGCTCGGCGCCTGCGTCGTACGCACTCATGGTACACCGTGGAGTGTGGCCGCCTCTACAAACGGTCCTTCACCTATCCCCTCCTGCGATGTTTAGAGCCTGACGAAGCCCAGATGGTCCTAACCGAAACCCACGAGGGGGTATGCGGTGAGCACATCGGCGGGCGAACCTTGGCGCACAAGATACTCCGTCAAGGCTACTACTGGCCGACCATGTGCCGGGACGCCAAAGCCTACGTTCAGCGGTGCAGTTCGTGCCAGCAGCACGCCCGCGCACCCCGACAGCTCGCGGTTCCGCTCAGTCCCATCGACTGCGCGTGGCCATTCGCGCAGTGGGGTTTGGACCTGCTCGGACCCTTCCCACCAGCCTATGGACAGCGGAAGTACATAATCGTGGGGGTGGACTATTTCACAAAGTGGGTCGAGGCTGAACCACTGGCGACAATCACGGAACATCAAATGGAGAAGTTCGTGTGGAAGAACCTAGTAACTCGGTTCGGGTTGCCCAAGGCCATTATCACAGACAATGGACCTCAGTTTGCCGGCAGAAGATTCCGGGAGTTCTGTGCCGATCATGGCATCCAACTGAGGTTCAGTTCGGTGGCCCATCCTCAGACTAACGGGCTAGCGGAGGTAACCAACCGATCCATCCTGGACGGACTCAAAAGAAGAGTGTCTGCAGCCCAATCGACCTGGACAGACGAGCTCCCCAGTGTGTTGTGGTCACTGCGCACAACTCCCAACACCGCAACCGGAGAATCCCCGTACAGCCTCGCATTCGGAACTGAAGCTATCCTGCCACCTGAGGTGGCCATCACCACCCTCCGAACACGAAGCTACGACGAAAAGGCCTCGGAGAAGGACTTCGAGCAGCCCTCGATCTGCTAGAGGAGTGGCATGCCAACGCACATGTAAGAGCCCTCTCGTATAAAAGAGCGATCCTGCGGAGGACCGAGGTCAGCGACCCGACCAGGGCAAGAGGCAAGTTAGCTCCAAACTGGGAAGGCCCATACCGGGTGGCCGAAGTCATCAAAATCGGAACATTCCGACTCACCACAATGATGGGTCATCCCCTGCCAAGGACTTGGAACGCCCAAAATCTCAAAAAATACTTCCCGTAAGTAAAGACCGGGCCAAAGACATAGCCATGCCGAGACGCAGACAATCTACTGGAGAAGGGAAAGACCATGTTTATTCAAAAAGCGCATTACAAAATAAAGCAAAAGTACAAAAAACTTCATTCCTCGGGGGCATCCGGGCTGTCGTCGAAGGGAACATCGGCTGGCATACCAACGTCTAGGTCCTCGGGGAAGGAACCAAAGGGATCCTCCACGACCTCCAAGCCAGGGTTGCGCACCTTGAAACGAGCAAGGGCAACCCGATACCCGTACTCGTATGAAACCCGCCCGGTCCGAACAAGGCCGAGCTGGAATCCCAGGGAGTCCTTGTAGTCCTCGATCAGCTTCTTATCCCTCCCCGGCCTCTGGCGGATCTCGGCATCAAGAGCGTCTGAAGCCACCCGCGCCTCAGCTCGCGACTCCTCGAGGCGTCGGATCAGCTCAAGGGTGTCCGCCCTCGCCGAGCGAGCCTCGGCCACCGACGCTTTCAAATGCGTCTAGAGCTCTGTATTACGCTCCTCGGACGTCTCCAACCGCGCCTGAAACTCCGTGGACCGCTCCGTGGATGCTTGGAGCTCAGATCGAAGGTGCACCACCTCCGCCTCCAAGTCCGAGGCACGCCGCTCGGCCGCCGCGACAGCCTCAGGGCCTGCTCCAGCCCGAGCTTCGTCCACCTGCCTTCGGAGCTCGGCATTGCGACTACTCAGGACAGCGATGACCCGTCCCGCATCACGGACGCGATCCATCAGCGCGGCGGCGTAATGGTTGCCCTGGGGAAGGGGAGAGGTCAAAACTAGGCACGTCCCAAAATGCACAAGCAGAGGGACGAGACAACACTTACCCACAACAGCGACTTAGTGGATTTGCTAAGCAAAGCCTCGGAGGATAAAGTGTACAAATCCCGAGCTATGTCGGGATGCAGCCCTCCGCGGACGAACCTGGCCGCACAATCGCCGTCGGCCCACACCCGGCTACCCCGGGTGAGACCGTCCCACCGGCCCACTAACGGGTCAGTGGCCGCGCCGCGCGGGAGAGCGCCCACCTCCCACGCTAGGTAAGGCTCGTCCTCTCTCCCGAGCGGAAGACGAAGAAGCTCGCGTATGGAGGGCTGGCGAGGCGCCTCCACCGCCGCACGCCCACTCGGGCCAGCCTCGCCCTCCTCCAGACTCCCCGCGGCATGGTCCGTCGGAGCTACGGCGGCCTCGACCGCTGGTGCTGCGGCAGCCTTCGCCGCCAGCACCACGGCACCTTCCGCCGAGGCTGGGACCACCTCAGGACCGTCGCTCGGAAACACCCGTGCCTTCTTCCGAGGCTGACCGGCCTCGACGTCCACGGGGGCCTCCCTCGTTCCCGCCCTGGCAACGGAAGGCGAACGGCCCGACGTAGCCGAAGAAGTTTTTCCCCCTCGAAGGGCTTCGAGACGCACCATCTCTGCGAGGAAAGGCCAAAACCACAATCAGTTAAGAGGGCAACCCATGAGCAAAAAGAGGAGAACCCCTAAAGAACCGCCCTAGGGAGCATACCTAGAGGCACCGAGCTGAGACCCACCTCCACCAACCACCGCTCGGACATATTCCGGATGGCTCGGGAGGCCGGGAGGATCTCTCTAAGCCTCTGGAGCTCTCGGCGCCCCTCGTCGTCCAAAACCGGGACGGTGTTGTCTATCGCACGCGCCCCCCAGCGGATCCCGAACCCCCAATCTCTCGAGCGGCTGATGAAAAAGAAACGCTCCTTCCACCCCTTATTGCTGGAAGGGGCCCCGCTCACCCGAAAACCCGCTCGGGCGGATAGATAGTAGCCCCCCGGCCCCTTGGAAAGACGGAAGTAGGAAAGGAAGAGGGCACGAGTCGGGGTTATGTGGGCATAGTGACACTCCCCCAAAAAAGCCACCAGATAGCGCCATGAGTTCGGGCCATCTGGGATGGGGAGATACGGCACCAGGAAATATAGGAAGCTATGACGGGGTGTAAGGGGAGGCGCAGCCCGGCCTCGAAAGCGTCTATGGTGAGGGCAAAGCCCTTAGGAATTGGGTCATACGCCCGTTGACCGGGCTCAGGAGCAAGAAGGACAAACTCCTCCGGGATACCATAACGATCCCGGAGGAAGCTCAGCGACGACTCACCCACGGTAGAGTCGTGGTCGTGCAGCCACATCAAGGCCTCAAGGGCCCGGGCCGCCTTCTCATCAGACGACGAGGCGGGATTCGACGAAGTCGCCGTCTCCGCGGCCTTTGAAAAAGACGAATGAGAGGAGGAAGACACCATTCTCACTGACCTTTAGCAAGGAAAGAAGGAACGATTGGTGCGAGACAAGCGAGGGTGTACGAAGTAGCGCGACGAAAACAGATGAAGAAACCCCCAGCGACTAGCCTCAGGCTGCCTATAAGCAGGCCGCGTCCCGCCAAAAGGCAACACCTCGTCTCCCAAAGTACGCTTCGAAAAACAGAGAGCATCACCTCGTCATAAATGCAGTCTGACATGGCAGCCAGTGGCAGCGCGGTGCGAAGCACGGAAGCGCCCAATCATATCAGCCTCGAAAACTGGCAGCCCCCCAAAAGGGGGAGCCATTTACTTTCCCCAGAAGAAGAGCGACCCGGCCTCCCGCGCCCGCGCACGTTCAAACAGCCAATCGCCAGCCGCAACCGATCGCTGGCCAAGAGCCAAGTACCGCCTCAGCCCTCGTAATCCCGAGACCACACCTGCGCGATCACCCCGCCTGCGTTGTGCTCCTCGGCCCTCGGCTCTACGCCATCCCGAGACCACACCTGCGCGGTCACCCCGCTTGCGTTGTGCTCCTCGGCCCTCGGCTCTACGCAATCCCGAGACCACGCCTGCGCAGCCACCCCGCCTGCGTTGTGCTCCTCGGCCCTCGGCTCTACGCCATCCCGAGACCACGCCTGCGCGGCCACCCCGCTTGCGTTGTGCTCCTCGGCCCTCGGCTTTACGCCATCCCGAGACCACACCTGCGCGGTCACCTCGCCTGTGTTGCACTCCTCGGCCCTCGTCGCCATCGCTCCCGAGTTCAATCCCACTCGGCCTTCCACGCATCGCGCGATCGGTCCGACTGCACCATGCCCCTCAGACCCACATAAACAGCCCGCCTGAAGCAAGAAGCCATGCCTCGGACTCCTTGCAGGCAAAACCGACGCATAGCTCCTTTCGGGGGGGGGGGGGCATATGATAGGGGTAAAAACTGATTTGACATAATATCCCGGATTTGACATAATACACCCCCACGTCAGCTACCCCTGTGCGGCGCGCTGCCCCAGGAAGCGAGCATTAACACCGACACGACACGCGCCCATACCGAGCGAGCATTAACGCCGACGCGACATACACCATACCCTGCGGGAGCCCGGCCTTCCACGCGACGTCCACGACGACGACGGACGCCATCAGAGGTACGACCCTGCTCCTGCAAGACGGCACATCAGGTAACATCAAACCCCCTTTATAAATACCCCCTGGCTCCCAACGGGCAGGGGGGCTCTCTCTCTCTCTCACTCAACACTCCTCTCTGCGTCACTGACTTGATCGTCGGAGGGGTCGGGCTGCGCTACCGACCCGACCTGTGTGCAGGTACTCGACCGCTGCTGGATCCACTCGGCGTCCCGACGCTTTCCCGCTGCTAATCCCAACCATTTGGAGCCCTGAACCAGCCGCATCGACCCCGAGGTCACGGCTCATAGAGTTACTTACCGTAACACCTTCAATGATTTTTCCGAGAAGATCCGTCTCGCTGAACTCTTGGGACGCACACCCAGATGGTGGTGCCGGAGTTGGCTTTGACTTTGCCATCACTGAACACCTTCTGAGCGAGGGTGGTCTTTCCGATGCCGCCGATCCCCACAGTTACCAGCACCACCACGTTCTTACTCGGATCTTGCTTTGTCAGCTGCTCCATCATTTGACTATTAGTTGTAACTCTAAATTACATTCATACCCTTTCAAGAATTGGAATGATTAATAAAATTAAATATCTTTTAGTATTTATATATTTGTTTATTTTTTTTCTTAAATAATGTTAATTATAATTAATCATGATTAATAGTTTATTGACTTTTCTAATTTTAGATGCAGCATTTTTTATCCTAATAAAACACACAAAAAATCTTATAGATATGTCAATAAAATTAATCTCCCCTAAATTAACCATCAGATATAATATTGTTGGAATTTCAATTGACATCAATATCCATGTAAATTATATTACAAATGTATGCCTTTTAAAATAATATTTATGATAATCAAATAAATGATAGTGATACAAGGTGATTTAGATATTAATACATTCTATATTAACACTAATTTATGAGAAAATTCTCCTAGATATAGATCATCAAGCTACTTGGCTATATATCATTGAGGAAGTTAAATATATTGTCTTCTAGAAAAATGGCATATATATCAATAGAAGATAGATTTATAGGTAGAATAACACCTATCAAAGTTTTTGTTTGCTAATGCTTGTGGATGATCATTATATTTCCCCCAAGCAGAACTTGCTGGTGTAATCTGAAAGCATTAATCTATTAATGATTGATATGATAGCTTGTTTATTGTCATCATAATGATTAAACTTAGCATGTATTAAAGTGATTCGGAATGAAAAATATTTTAAATTTTCATTTTGTCACACATCTGAGTTAATGAAATGTTTTTCTTGATATCAATCAATTCCTTCTTTTAATGTGGTGTTTTCAAATATCTTCTTATCAGTTATTGCTAAAATTGATTGACAATAAATACTTGGAATATTTGGGTTTGTCATTGTTGAAAAGCAAATCAAATGAAGGAAAAGAATGGAACAAATATAGACGATGACACGAACAAATTCTTTGTCTCTACTATCTACAATATATATAAAAAAATGATTTTTGGACTTTTTCTGTTCCTCCAAATATCTTCACCAACTCTCTGGATCCAAGATCATTTCATGGTACCAATGATTTAGCCATTACTTTTCTCATGTAATCTGAATTCTGAACCCAAGAGGTGTTGCAATTTGCATTCATGGATCAACCACCCACAAAAGTTCTGATACTTCACTTTTCCTGCATTCTTTTACTGTCGATAACTCACTTTACATCATGGAAGAAAAAAAGGGCTCTTTTCTTTTTCTTCTTTGAATGACCCAAATGTTCAGCAATCTGCAGAGATTGCAGTGATCATAGGCCTGAGCACTTCACTGTTTTCTGATATGGATTTTTTTCTTTCCCTCATCTCTGTTCTTGCAGCACAATATGTGATCCCAGCTACAGCAACAAGCTACTTCACACTGTTTTCTTTTCTTTTGCTGATCTCTGTTCATGTAGCACAGTGTGTGATCCGCCTACAGCAGCTGGCAATGAAATGCCTGCAAAATGCCAAGCAAGCATTCTCATCATCACATGGTTGGTGCAAATGCCTTCTTTGTCACCAAGAAAAGCCCACACTTCACAAGCTATATCTATCTTGGTAGCAGACCAACACAGGCCTCTGTGTCTTGTCTTGATTCAGGGAAACCTTGCTGTGAACTCAGCCATGGCTTCTGACAAACATTTACAGATACTAGATAGGTGAACACTTGCTATGGATCCATGAAGAGGTCTATTCCTTTGAGTGAAGCTTTTCAAAGGCTCATTGCTAAGTGACAGCTTGTCAAACATTCAAAGTTAAGCTTTAACCACCTGCTAAGAGCATTGGAAGGAGATTTATCAGTTTATGTTCAGAAATGGTTGCTCAATTCATCATTAAGTACAATTATGTGATATCGATGCAAGCATGACATTGATACCGCCAGATGCATTACGATTGGATTAAACTGAGATTTAATTAGACCTGGTATGAATTACCTAAAACCACAAGACTCTTAGTTAGTCGAAATATAGATTCTAAAAGGCTCTTTTCAATTTTTTAATTACCTTTCGCATAAAGCATGCATAAAAATGGAAGAAAAATCACATTGCACTTTTATCTTGCTGTTCTTATTACCTGATCCTGATGTCATTTCTGAAATTGCAACAAAATATCAAGTGGTATGCTATATTCAGGAAATTATCTTAAGATGCCAAGAAAATTAGAAGCCAGATCTGCTTATGCATAGTTTAAATTGTTTTAGATTATGTCATTATGATACAGCTTGTTACCTGCATTTATGATTTTGTAGACCTGAAAACAAAAATAAGAAGAATCAAGATCTCGACTTAATACCATCATTGCGGTGTCCATTTAGCAGGCAGGTTTAGTTAAATGATTATACTAAGAAGAGGGAATTAATCAGCAGAAACTAGACATAATACAAGTTATTCTTATGCCAACTTTAGGTACACTCTCATATATGCAAATGTGCAGAACTTGGATGCAAACGGTTCATGTATTTGGAGGAAACTACAGCTCATGTCAATAAGTTAGCAAAGATCTCTGGCCACTGTTTCATGCACAGTTCAAGGTTTTAATGTATCAAGCAAATGCCAACAAGAAGTTCATTGTATCAAGGTTTAGATACAAAGTTACAGTCATTCTTGTCTAAGTCTTCTAAATTCTTGCACTTGGATGAATGTATTCAACTCCATTTCATTGTATTCTCTAGGAAAAAGTGCTGACCCAACTCATCGTTTTTACCAAAGATATGATTCTTTCTATATATCTTAGCATGCATGAAATGTGCAGTCATATAAGACAGAGACACCTTGTACAAGAACTAACAAAAAAGATGGCCAGGACTAAACATTCTGATCTAGGCAAAGATCAGTTTGCAACTCAGATTCATAGAACACTCCAAACCACTCCAGAGCCTTCAGAGTGTAAAGACAGGCTCCTTTGTTGAGAGTTCATTGCAAAGGATGAGTGCTTCACCTGCTTGGCTCTACTCAGCAATGGAGGTACCTAACAAAGCTTGAAGAGTCGGTGATACCATCAGGGTTGCAAATGTGGCCCGTGGGGGATCATTTTGGGAGTTCTTGTGAATGAACAGAATGATCAGAAGAACAAATCAGAAAACTACTTCTTTGTCTAGTACAGCTACATCAGATATTTGACAGGCTCACAGGTCTGCATCTTAGTACTACACTAATTCCACAACACATGATCTGTATGTTCCTCAATATATATAGTTTCATCACCATAATATACAGAAAGCCAAAATAGTTTCATCACCATATCATGGGAATGTAGCATGAATCGCAACCAACCTCTCGATCTGCATTTCCGCTCAAACGTCACGGACTTTCCATGGTCAGCTCCATTTGTAATGATCATATTAGACATGACCGCCAATTACATCGTGGATGATGTCCATCTCTCTACCATAAGCAGGAATCGACTTGATCTAGTGCACTCAGATGTTTGTGGCCCTATCAATCTAGTATCACTTGGAGGAAGCAGGTATTTTCTTACATTTACTGATGATCATAGTGGCAAAACTTGGGTTTACATGTTAAAAGAAAAGAAAGAAGTTTTAAGCAAATTCAAAGAATTTAAGGATTTGGTTGAAAGACAAAGTTGTTGTAAGATTAAATGTTTAAGAACAGATAGGGGTGGTGAATATATATCAAATGAATTTGAAAGTTTTTGTAGAAATAATGGAATTCTACATCAATTCACTATGCCATACACACCTCAACAAAATGGTGTCTCGGAAAGAAAAAATAGGACTATCCTTAATATGGTCCGATGCATGTTAAAGGAAAGAAAAATTCTGAAAGAATTTTGGGGTGATGTTGTTGCTTGTGCAGTTTATTTGCTTAACAGGTTTCCGACAAAGCGAATTGGTAATGTTACACCAGAAGAAGCATGGAGCTTACAAAAACCAAGAGTTGATCACTTAAGGATTTTTGGAAGTGTTGCATTTGCCAAGATACCAGAAGAAAAGAGAATGAAATTGAAGGATAAAAGCCAGAAATGTATTTTGTTAGGTTATCCAGAGAATTCTAGTGGTTACAAACTCTACAATCCTGTCACAAATAAAGTTGTGATGTCAAGTGATGTTGAGTTTGATGAACAACATATTTGGAACTGGAAAAGTGATGAGCAGCATAAGAAAGCTGTAGTTTCAGAAGAAGATGATATAATACAAGCAAGCACCGAAGTGGCTGTGCCGGAATCATCACCTAGATCAGCTAGATTACATGATTCAAGAAGTCCAATTATAAGAAGGACAAGACCTATTCAGGACCTATATGATGTGACTCGAAGGATTGATACTAACAATGATGAACTTTCTTTATTTTGTCTTTTTGCAGGATATGATCCATTAACCTTCGAAGAAGCTTATAGTGATAAAAAATGGCGACAAGCTATGAATGAAGAGATTCGTGCAATTAACAAAAATAATACATGGGAGCTTACTACACTTCCAGAAGACCACCAAGCTATCGGTGTTAAGTGGATCTTCAAAACAAAAAGAAATGCAAAAGGAGAGGTGGAGAAATACAAGGCCAGATTGGTTGCAAAGGGATATAAACAACAATATGGAATTGATTATGAAGAAGTATTTGCGCCAGTCGCTCGATTGGAGACAGTAAGATTACTTATCTCTCTAGCAGCTCAAATGAAATGGAAGATTTTACAAATGGATGTCAAATCAGCATTTCTTAATGGAGTTCTTGAAGAAGAGGTATATATTCAATAACCCCCTGGTTTTATTATTCAAGAACAAGAAGACAAAGTATATAAGTTAAAGAGAGCTCTTTATGGGCTTAAACAAGCCCCACGAGCATGAAATTCTCGAATAGATACTTATTTTATTCAAAATGGGTTTTCTAAATGTCCACATGAACATGCTCTCTATACAAAATATAACTCTAATGGAGATATCTTGTTTGTATGCCTGTACGTAGATGATTTAATATTTACAGGCAATAGTAGCTCCATGATTATAGATTTTAAGCACTCTATGAAAAAGGAGTTTGAGATGACCGACTTGGGCTTAATGACTTATTTCCTTGGTATTGAAGTTATACAAGATAATGAATGAATTTTTATCTCACAAGAAAATTATGCAAAGGAGGTTTTAAAGAAGTTTTCTATGGAAGATTGTCATCCTACAGATACACCTGTTGAATATGGCACCAAGTTGACCAAGGAAGGTGAAGGTATATACATTAATCCAACTTATTATAAAAGTCTAGTTGGATGTTTAAGGTATTTGACATGCACTCGACCTGATATACTATTTGGAGTTGGTTTAATAAGTAGATTTATGGAAGTTCTAAAGACATCTCATTTAAATGTCGCTAAAAGAATTTTGCGATATATTAAAGAAACAATTGAGTATGGAATGTTCTATTCTTCATCTAAAAAGTTGGAGCTCATTGGATATAGTGACAGTGATTGGACTGGAAGCTATGATGATCGGAAGAGCACAACTGGATTTGTATTTTATTTTGGTGAAGCTACATTCACTTGGTCTTCAAAAAAGCAACGAATCGTTGCTCTATCAAGTTGTGAAGCAGAATATATAGCAGCTTCTTCCAGTGTTTGTCATGCAATTTGGTTAAGAAGATTACTCCAAGAACTTCATATGCCACAGGAGAAGTCAACCAAGATTTATGTTGATAACAAATCAGCTATTGCCTTAGCCAAGAATTCAGCCTATCATGAAAGATCGAAGCATATCGATACAAGATTTCATTTTATAAGAGATCATATCAAAAATAAAGAAGTGGAGATACATCATGTCAAGACAAGTGAACAAGTGGCTGATATACTCACAAAACCTCTCAAATTTGAAATATTTCAACAACTTCGAAAGAAACTTGGCATGCTAGATGGAACAAGTTTAAGGGGGGAGAATGTTGGAATTAAACTTGTTCAAGTATCATAAAGAGATTCATTTCATCAAAAGAGGTTCATTGCATCATGAGAGAGATTCAATACATCAAGAAGAAAAAAATGGATTAAAAGTCTTTGAAAGAACAAGTCAAATTGGTTATTGGTTCTTGAAAGGATTTCTTGAAAGAGAATGATTCATCTTGAATACAATTAATATAATGTATCTTTGGGGACTATATAAACCTCATATGTTGGGTCATGAGTGTAATAGAGTTTCTGAAATTTGTAAAAAAAAATTTCTTGAAAGAAATATAGAAGATTGAAGCTTGTCCTACTCTTCCTCTATTTGATAACTCTATCCCCTCTTCCTATCAACATCAACAAGTTGCCACTCCAAAACCAGAAGACGTTAGATGGTCGAGACGTGAGCATGAAAGGTAAGTTACCTCAAAGATCATTGATGTCTTTTTACTTCTTCTTCGTCTTCAGCAGCTGCAGCAAAAGCAGCATTATCATCGACTAGGTTTGTCTCGAAGGTGCCGGAATGCTTGATGTAGTTTATATAATTGCCTCGGTCATCTTTGATGGAAAAATTTGGAAAGTGTTTGATCATGGGCCAGTCTGCGCCATTTTGGAGGCATCTGCGGAGGAGTTGGGTGGTTCCCCATACGTCCAGTCTCTGGAGCGTGGTGAAGCATCCAGGGCAAGCCGCCAACCACTCTGGTAAATGATTGTATGGAAAGAAAAACCCGCCCAACTTCAAGAGCTCCAGTGCAGGGAGATCAGCAACAATCTCCAGATCTGACTCACCACTTATACTCAGTTCTTTTACAGAAGGGAAACCTCCGATGGACTTGAGAGCACACACATCGGTCAGATCCAATGTGGTTAAGCAGGTTGCCTGTCGGATCAGGCCTTCCGGTAGAGACTTCAACTTTGGGCAATTTACGAGGACCAATTTGCCGAGGCGACGCATGGCAAAACCTTCCGCTACCCAATCCCACACTACCATGTTAGTCATATTCCATAGTTCCAGCTGCCTTAGTTTCGGAAACAACGAAGGAGGAGAAGTAGAAGAAGAAGAAGGGAGCTTTGAATTCCGTTCCCGATCATGACCAGTAGCAGCAACTTCACACCCAAAAAATTCCGGTCCGATGGTGGTCACTGCATGTGCACCTTGTATTTCAAGAAACTCCAAGCTAGGGAGCTTCCCCAGCGGTGGAAGCAGAGGCCAATCATTGCAGTCAATTAGTTCCAAGCGTCTTATGTTTGGAAGAAGCGAACTGATGCTTGCAGACGCCATCCAGCTGGGGAACCGGAGAAGGAAAAAATTATCTAACCTGAGCGAAACAACAGATGATGGTGGATGAAGTGCCACATCCAACAACTTCTCGAATCTTTCAATCTCTTCCTCCGTGTGATCATCGGATGTATATGAGCAATGTAAATGTAGATGTTTCAGTTTTTGTTTACCCTTAAAGAGGCTCGTATCTCTTCCCGGTTCAACTTCCAGCCACGCCCTCTCCAACCTGTCAACGGAGAGGTATCTGAGCTCATGGAGGCTGCCTAATTCTTCCAATGGGCACGAACCAGTAGCCGTGTTCACCACGAATCCTACGAGTTCATTGAGGAGCTTCAACCTTCCTATTCCACATGGTAAGCTCTCCAGGCCTGTAAGTTGACAATCGAGTGTTCTTAGATTGACTAGCCTAACTATACCCTGTGGGATATGTGTCAACTGTCTACATCGAAAAAGGATCAAAAACTGCAAATTCGTCAGATTGCATATGCTTTCTGGAAGCTCCGTTATATCGGTATAAGACACATTCAAGTATCTCAAGTGGATCAAATTTCCCATGTAGTGTGGTAGGCTCTGGATATTTCTGCCCATGAGATGGAGGACTCTAAGTCGCACAAAGTTCTTCATGTAATCATCTATATCCTTCGCATAGCCACGTGTTCCCTCCGCTAACAATGTCCTCACGGACTCATGTTGCTCGATCAAACTGACGATACGCTGGATGTCCGTGGTTTCAGTGGCCACAATCGACAACCGACGCAGCTTCATCGGGATGGCACCACTTCTCCGCTCGTTTTGCACGTCACTAATGAACAAGATCTCATCTCTCGATAGGAAATGGCCGAGCGATCGCAGCAGATCATGCATCTTGAAATACTCATAGTAGTCGTCCTGACTGTAACGTTGCCATTGTAAAAGGCTCCTATGAAGCAGCTCTCTATGATATTGCTCCCCTGTTTCCTCCAAGCTGACATCTCCTCGTGCTTCGACAAACCCCTCGGCTATCCATAATTTGATGATGTCAGACCTGGCAAACACATAGTCTTCTTTGAACAAGGCACAGTAGAGAAAGCATTGCTTGAGATGGGACGCCAAGTCTTGGTAGCTCAGATTCAGTGCTCGGTGCACACCTTCGGGAAGCCCGGTCCGTGACCATGCGGCGCTGCGGAGAACTTCCTCCCACGCACTTCTGTTGAGTCCTCTGGAGCAGAGGACCCCTCCGATGGTCTTGATGGCCAGGGGAAGCCCTCCGCATTTCTCAACAATCTTCATGCCTGTGTCCTTGAGATCTTGGGCATCCCTTTCCTCCTCTGCATTCATCGTCGCCTTCTTGCACAGGAGCGACCAGCCATCCTCCGGAGGCAGCAGCTTCATCTCGTGGACGTGGGCCGCCTTCATTTGCCTCGCGATCCCTGCGTTTCTGGTTGTCACCAGCACCCTGCTGCCTGCTGCTCCTCCCTGCAAAGGATTGCGGAGCAAGTCGTCCCAGATCTGAGCATCCCAAACATCATCCAACACCAGCAAGAACTTGTTCCCTCTCAGTAGACCCGCCACCAAGGGCTCCAGCAGACTCCTGCTCTGTTCTCTATTATATTTTCCACCAGCACCTTCGATGATATTTCCGAGAAGATCCGTCTCGCTGAACTCTTGGGACACGCACACCCAGATGGTGGTGCGGAAGCTGGCTTTGATTTTACCATCATTGAACACCTTCTGAGCGAGGGTGGTCTTTCCGATGCCGCCGATCCCCACAGTTGCCAGCACCACCACGTTCTTACTCGGATCTTGCTTTGTCAGCTGCTCCACCAGTGCCTCGGCGTCCTCCTCCAGTCGCTGGCCAACCATGTCAGACTCCATCACCGGGGAAGTTATGCGACTAACTCGAGGAACCACCCTTGGTTCCGCCGCGGACACATGGAGTTGCAACTTGGACCTTCGGGCCGAGATCTCTTCCAGCCGATCGTTGAGATCCTTGATTTTGACGCCCACCGCATGTCTGAACTTGACCTCGCGAAAGCAAGCACAGATGGGAAATCCGCACAAGGTGGACGGCTTCGGAGCGGACTCACGAGGAGTCCACTTCTCAGCCTCCATCCGGCACTCGTCGAGGACGTCGTCGGCGTCGTACATGACATCCTTGAGCTCCATCAGCCAGTCGTTGACGCTCTCGTTCTCGATCCGCTGCTTCTCGGCGTCGCGAAGGACAGAGTGGATGTTGCGGAGAGAGCGTCGGAGCTTTTGGATCTCCCCGGGGACGCCCAACAGCAAGTCAACCTCCTCTTTAGCCATGTCCTTCAACGTACCGACCAGCCCGGAGATGAAGGCATCAAGCACGACGGCCATCTTTGATCACAGAGTGAAGGAATCATCAAGCACAATGTACCTCTCTCTCTCTCTCTCTTTAAAGACAAAGGTAGGTGGAAGTCATAGCTGCATAAACTATATATATTTATTTTCTAAAAGAAAACTTAAAAAACTCATAGGCTTCATTATATGATGAATGTGTGAAACCATTTTGAAAAAAAAAAATCAAAAATAAAACATATTATATTATTAAAAAGAAGCCTCAAAATTAAACAAAAACAAAACCCTCACCAAAATCAAAGGCCATGTGGTGACCGAGAATCAAAAAGATTAAAAATATAAACCAAACCCATTCTTATTCTTGCAGAAATCAAAAAGTCAACTAAACAGGACAACGAATCAATACATGTTCAATAAATTTTAAATTAATATTTAAAAAATACTATCATTAGCTGGACGCACGTCTTGCAAGTATAAGATCAACATTTCAAACCAAGATAATATTACATATACAAACAAGATCACTGAAAGATAATATGTCGGCTACAAGATGGTTAGTATAAATCGAGTATCACTCGGTGATATAAGATAGTACATAGAGGCTCTATAATGAATAATTTTTTAAAATAAGAAACGATTTAGAATAGGCACTGATCATAACCTTAACCTCAAGATACATATGTTTGAAAATTTTCTCTACTTTAATTAGTAATTGGATGCTCTAAAATATTCTAGAAAAACCAGGATAAGCTCAAGAAACTCACATGTCAAGAATTTTAAATATTTTTAAATTATTTTATTATAAATAGATGTATATATCTTTAATTTATAGCTTGTTTCCGATAAAATATTTGTACTCTTACCCATAATTTATTTTTCTCCTTTTTCATAATCTTCTTCTTTTTCTCCTTCTCCTTTTAATTGTCAACGCTAATATAAAATGAAGAAGAAAAAGATAAATGATGAAACAAGACGACCTAAATATCGAAGAAAAAAAGATGAGAAATAATTTTTGATATTTATTATAATAAGTTGATATTTTTAAGGTCATGCATATTATGTACTAATCTTAAAAACACTACCTTCTTGATTTATTATATTAATATAGAAGATATTGTCTTTACAAATTGCCTAGTATATATAGTATATGAATAGTATATATATAATTTTGTTTAATCTCAAAAATTAAATAACGTTTGACTATTAGTTGTAACTCTAAATTACATTCATACCCTTTCGAGACTTGGAATGATTAATAAAATTAAATATCTTTTTGTATTTATATATTTGTTTAATATTTCTTAATTATTGTTAATTATAATTAATCATGATTAAAAGTTTCTTGACTTTTCTAATTTTAGATGCAGCATTTTTTTTATCCTTATAAAACAAAAAAAAATCTTACAGATATTTCAATAAAATTAATCTCCCCTAAATTAACCATCAGATATAATATTGTTGGAATTTTAATTGACATAATATCCATGTAAAATATATTACAAATGTATGCCTTTTAAAATAATATATATGATAATCAAATAAATGATAGTGATACCAGGTGCTTTAGATATTAATACATTCTATATTAACACTAATTTATGAGAAAATTCTCCTAGATATAGATCATCAATCTACTTGTGCAGTAACTTGGATGCAAACAGTTCATGTATTTGGAGGAACCTACAGCTCATGTCAATAAGTTAGCAAAGATCTGTGGCAACTGTTTCATGCACAGTTCAAGGTTTTAATGTATCAAGCAAATGCCAACAAGAAGTTCATTGTAACAAGGTTTAGATACAAAGTTACAGTCATTCTTGTCTAAGTCTTCTAAATTCTTGCACTTGGATGAATGTATTCAACTCCATTTCCTTGTATTCTCTAGGAAAAAGGACAGGCTCCTTTTGTTGAGAGTTCATTGCAAAGGATGAGTGCTTCATCTACTTGGCTTTCTTGTGAATGAACAGAATGATCAGAGCAACAATTGAAGAGATCTCTTGACTTAGAAGGAGAAGACTAATATGGCATTGTCGTTATGGGAGCAATGAGGAAGAAAGGTATGTCATATCCTACTTATCTCTTTTCACTCTCTATATATAGATTGGATCCAATGTGTTAGAGGGCCTCAACTGCCTCCACTTTGATTTGGTGCATATTTCCATTGTGTTTTTTCAGCTCCGAGAAAAGAAAAGAAAAAAAAAGGGTTTGACAACAGTGATGAAACACAGGACTCAGCACAATCATTTGAAGAAAATTGTATTTTTTTGAAGCCTAATCTGCTTCATCCTTTCTGTCCATTATTGAGAATCACAAGCTTGCTATTTAGTATTATCAATTCAGATGTTGGTCACAATACCACACACAACATAACTGTAAAATAGAACAGAATTCAAGGCAATAGACTAAGTTACCTACAAACCTGTGTAGTTGGTAAGTAATAAGAATGCACCACACTGATGCATGTAACTCGAGACTGATTCTATATCTCATCTATCAAGATTTCCACTTTGTTTCAGATGATTGATTTCTTCTTAGGCAAAAGAGAAGCAGAATTTTTGTGCTTACGAGTGTTTTGCAGTATGCACCTTTCCTTTTGCATTGCTGAAAATAAACTTGGATAAGGTAGGTGATTAATGGGTATCTGTGATTCCTTGACATTAACATGGATCATGAAGGGAGAAATCATTTCAGTTTCTGCATCTTAGTTCTACAGTAATTCCACAACACGTGATCTGTATGTTCCTCAATTTATATAGTTTCATCACCATATCTTGGGAATGTAGTTTCATCACCATAATATACAGAAAGCCAAAATAGTTTCATCACCATATCATGGGAATGTAGAATGAGTCGCAACCAACCTCTCGATCTGCATTTCCGCTCAAAAGTCTCGGACTGTCCATGGTCAGCTCCATTTGCAATGATCATGTTAGACATGACTGCCAATTACATCGTGAATGATGTCGATCTCCCTGCCATAAGCAGCAAAAGATGATTGTGAGTTGCCACTCCAAAACCAGAAGGCGTTAGATGGTGGAGACGTGAGCATGAAAGGCTAAGTTACCTCAAAGCTCATTGATGTCTTTCTTCTTCTTCTTCTTCTTCTTCTTCAGCAGCAGCAGTAGCGAAAGCAGCAGCATCATTGACTAGGTTTGTCTCGAAGGTGCCGGAATGCTTGATGTAGTTTATACAATTGCCTCGGTCATCTTTGATGGAAAAAATTGGAAAGTGTTTGATCATGGGCCAGTCTGCGCCATTTTGGAGGCATCTGCGGAGGAGTTGGGTGGTTCCGTACACGTCCAGTCTCTGGAGTGTGGTGAAGCATGCAGGGCAAGCCGTCAACCACTCTGGTAAATGATTGATGCGAGATCCAAATGTGCCCAACTTCAAGAGCTCCAGTACAGGGAGATCAGCAACAATCTCCAGATCTGAGTCACCACATATACTCAGTTCTTTTACAGAAGGGAAACCTCCGATGGACTTGAGAGCACACACATCGATCAGATACAATGTGGTTAAGGAGGTTGCCTGTCGGATCAGGCCTTCCGGTAGAGACTTCAATTTGGGGCAACGTATGAGGACCAATTTGTCGAGGCGACGCATAGCAAAACCTTCCGCTACCCAATCCCACACTTCCATGTTATTCATATTCCAGAGTTCCAGCTGCCTTAGTTTCGGAAACAACGGAGGAGGAGAAGTAGAAGAAGAAGAAGGGCGCTTTGAATTCCGTTCCCGTTCATGACCAGTAGCAGCAGCTTCACTCCCAAAAAATTCCGGTCCGATGGTGGTCACTGCACGTGCACCTACTACGAAAAGAAACTCCAAACTGGGGAGCTTTCCTAGCGGTGGAAGCAGTGGCCAATGATCGCAGTTAGTTAGTTCCAAGTGGCTTATGTTTGGAAGAAGCGAACTGATGCTTGCAGACGCCATCCAGCTGGGGTACCGGAGGCCGAAGAAATTCTGTAACCTGAGCGAAACAACAGATGATGGTGGATGAAGTGCCACATCCAACACCTTCTCCATTCTTTCAATCTCTTCCTCCGTGTGACCATCGGATGTCAGTGTGGATGAGCAATGCAAATATAGATTCTTCAGTTTTTGTTTACCCTTAAAGACGCTCGTATCTCTTCCCGGGTCACCTTCCAGCCACGCCCTCTCCAACCTCTCTATGAAGAGGTATCTGAGCTCCTGGAGGCTGCCTAATTCTTCCAATGGGCACGAACCAGTAGCCTTGTTGACCACGAATCCTACGAGTTCATTGAGGAGCTTCAACCTTCCTATTCCACATGGTAAGCTCTCCAAGTGTGTATATCCACAATCGAGTGTCCTTAGATTGACTAACCTATCTATACCCTGGGGGATCTGTGTCAACTGTCTGCATCCAAAAAGGATCAAAAACTGTAAATTCGTAAGATTGCATATGCTTTCTGGAAGCTCCGTTACACGACTATGAGACACATTCAAGTATCTCAGGTGTATCAAATTTCCGATGTAGTACGGTAGAATATCAATATTTGTGTAACTAAGGTGCAGGACTCGAAGTCGCACGAGGTTCTTCAAGGAATCATCTATATTCTTCACAGAGCCACGTATTCCCTCCAATAACAATGTCCTCACCGACTCATTTTGCCTGGTCCAACTGACGATATCCCGGATGCCCATGGTTTCAGTGGCCACAGTCGACAACCGACGCAGCTTCATCGTGGCGGCAACACTTCTCCACTCGTTTTGCACGTCACTAATGAACAAGCTCTCATCTCTGGATAGGAAATGGCCGAGCGATCGCAGCAGGTCATGCATCTTGGAATGCTCATCGTAGTCCAGATCGTAAAGTTGCACCGATTGTAGAAGGCTCCTATGAAGCAGCTCTCTATGATATTGCTCCCCTGTTTCCTCCAAGCTGGCATCTCCTCGTGCTTCGACAAACCCCTCGGCTATCCATAATCTGACGACGTCAGACCTGCGAAACACATAGTCTTCTTTGAACAAGGCACAGTAGAGAAAGCATTGCTTGAGATGGGACGCCAAGTCTTGGTAGCTCAGGTACAGTGCTCCGTGCACACCGTCGGGAAGCCCGGTCCGTGACCATGCGGCGCTGCGGAGAACTTCCTCCCACGCATTTCTGTTGAGTCCTCTGGTGCAGAGGACCCCTCCGATGGTCTTGATGGCCAGGGGAAGCCCTCCGCATTTCTCAACAATCTTCATGCCTGTGTCCTTGAGATCTTGGGCATCCCTTTCCTCCTCTGCATTCATCGTCGCCTTCTTGCACAGGAGGGACCAGCCATCCTCCGGAGGCAGCAGCTTCATCTCGTGGACGTGGGCCGCCTTCATTTGCCTCGCGATCCCTGCGTTTCTGGTTGTCACCAGTACCCTGCTCCCTGCTGCTCCTCCCTGCAAAGGATTGCGGAGCAAGTCGTCCCAGATCCGAGCATCCCAAACATCATCCAACACCAGCAAGAACTTGTTCGCTCTCAGGAGACCCTCCACCAAGGGCTCCAGCA